AATGAGTAATAGTATTTGTGTACATAATAGTACGAGAGTATATGACAGTGTTTGTAAATATAATAGTACGAGAATGAGTAATAGTATTTGTGTACATAATAGTACGAGAGTATATAACAGTGCTTGTAAATATAAAAGTACGAGAATGAGTAATAGTATTTGTGTACATAATAGTACGAGAGTTTATAACAGTGTTTGTAAATATAAACACACTAAATCAAAATTGGATTTTGGTATAACGTCAACAGGAAGGTGAATTTACGCCGATCCATGACTATCGCGCTCACGCAATAGCGAAAAGAGATGTATCAAACTTTCGAAAATATGCTTCAATGTCAGGACCACAAAAATTCGATGATGAAGCTAAGGCTTATCCAGTGAGTTAATATTTTACAGTCTAGTCTAATATCATGTTACTTATCAATTTTTCAATATAAAAAATATTTTACTTAGAAAAACGTATTTAAACGAGAAATCCACCATGACACAGATCCGGAGCGGGAAAAACTGATCAGACGACGCGTTCCTCCTAAGATTAGTAAATATGATCCATATAATATATTTGATTGGATAAGACAGTCTTTCATGGATAGAGTACTCAGTACAATGGGTAAGTGACTACAACCTTTTTGTCAAAAGTTCTGTAATTACATTGTAACTTGGATTCATATTTAATTGTGGAATATTTAAATACAGTAGAATTCGCTTAGTATGATGCCGAATTTGACGGAGCATTTATTATGACGTAATCATACTACGAAGTTTGGTTTTCATGAAAAAATTCTAATGAAAACAGTCGAATTATTGACTTTCCTTAAATTGACATATTGCTTAAAAAGACCCATTAAATAAAATATATTCAGCTACCAACATGATTCTACACCTCCGGTAACTGGGATGGGACAAAAAGGTTTCTGGCCAAGGTTTCAAAAAAAACAAAGACAGATTAACTGTTTTGCCATACGCTAATGACTCCCACCCCCTTTAAAGACTATTTCTCACCACTTTGTACTGCTTTTGTAGTTTAATTATTAACTCATTGTTTTTATTACCGCCCGATAGTCCAAAATGTTGGACTATTCTTTACTAAGCGTATTTTACTGTATATACGAGTTTATGATTATATACTATAGTAAATAATCAATTAAAACAAATAATTAAGGTATGCCAGCGGTAGTAACAAATGATATGCGAGAAATGGAAAAATATGACATGAACCGTATAGGAAAAGTACTTCCACCATCCTATTTTCATACGGTTCGAGAAACCTTGAAAAATGTCCGCTCCCAAAGTCGAAGGGCCTCTGATAATGGGTATATGATGGTTATAAAAGGTGGTAGACCAGAAAATGCCAGGTAATTATTGGTATAACCACTAGAGTATTCAGTGATCAAGAAACACTTATTACATGAAAATATAAAATTATTATACTAAATTAGATAATACTCTGATTTTAATTCCTCTTTCTGAAGGGATTTATTTGAAACTGTAAAATATGTGAAGAAACATACCCCAGAAGAACAAACTATGATAGTAGTGACTGGCAACTGCCCACATTACGCTAATGATGCCACTTATATTGCCTACAGAGCTCCAGAAATCAGAAAAATTCAGACAAGATACCGTATTATGCCACAGGTACATAATAATTTTAAATTAACAAAAAAAAAGCAGTAAGAACTGCCAAAGCTCCGTAGTAATTTGGTATAACAACTACTGGTTTGGGTTCGGCCTGCTTGATACCAAGCAGCAGTGATTACAGATTTTCACTTGAAAGAATATAAAGTTAAAATAGCGGGGAATTGGCCGATTTTTTCTAGAAACGATTCTGGATTCATATTTTTCTAGGTTTGTCCCTATTTTTTATAATTTATTTTAAATATGTTCAAACAGTAATGGATCAAAAGAATTGTACATATCAGAAAAAAGTGCCTGAAGTAGATACACAATAAAAGCGATATTAATAGCTAAATATAATTATGAACCAAATTGAGCAGAATTTTACACATTGCTTTAGGTCATTTTTACATCATCAATCATTTTTTACCACTTTTCTGTCATTTATTTATCAATGTTACAAGAGTGCAAAAAAGTAAAAACAAAAAAAAAAAGATTATAATTTAAAAAAAATAGCAGTTATTAAATTGGGAGTCCCAAAAAATTGGCACGTAATCATGCCCACGATTGCAGCCCTCATAGCAATCCGAAATGATAAAAAAGATTACTGACTAGAATGATGTCGCAATGTATTTACTAGGATTAAGGTAAAAAATAATTTTTGACAAAATGGTGACTGTAGAAAAAAAAAATCATTTTCCTTATCACTTTTTGAGTTTTCAAATTTTCGAAAAATAGTTAGTATTGAAATGTGGATATGGGGCTAGTATATACCAGAGAAAAGTCTATAGAAGAGATTCTCTAAAAATTTCAAGTGCAAAGATTTAGTAGAACTCGAGAAAAATCATGGGCATCGTATTGAAAAAGACGGTTTTAAGAAAAACGCGTTTAAAGGAAGGAAACAGAAGAAGATTATTATGGTCAAACAGCTATATCTCCGAAAATAATTCGAATTTTAAAAAAATCCTCTCGTACACGTTCATAAATAGTTAAACTTTAAAAATATGAAACAAAAGACCACTATGTTTTTCTTGAGTTTTTACACTAGAATACCTCCTTAAAAGCGAAACTGATGTAAATATATTTTTTGTCTCGTATAATTTTTATTAAAAAAACAATTTACTTAATTATTATTAATTTATTTAATTAGTTTATTTCCCCCCCACAAGTTCCTGCCTCGGATTTGCATATTAGTTCAGTCATTTAGGCTTAAATTGGGTAAGAATCACTGTAAGTCTGTAAATACTTGTGTTTTGCATCCTAAAAATTGTCTCAAAACCTACATATGGTAGGGTGTACGCAACATATGTAGGTTTTGAGACAACTTTTAGGGTGCAAAATATAAGTCTTGGGTATCTTGAATTCCCAGGTGAACTTACTATAATGACTGGACTATATGGCTACCTACTTATGTGCATGCCACAAAACAAAGGCTTACTATGTCAACAATAGTTAGAAATACTTATTAGATGTTTAGGAGTGTTATTTACAACAGCTTTTTGGATAATATGTATATCCTTAATTAATTCTAGATTGATTTGTACATTACAGGAAGAAAATGTAAAAGACTTGACAATTTTAGACATATCTATGAAATACCAAGAGCCATTAAAGATGCAATTTCGAAACCAGCCCGTAAAGATTACGATGAGGATCAAGATTTCAACTTTATGAAACGAGAAGCTGCGGCAAAATCTCCATATAAACTTAAGCAGGACAATCAAGTCTTACACACTGAAAAACTCGATGCGTATAAAAAACGCGTTGAAGAACAGAAAATTAAAAAAGCTTCTATACAAGATATTATTCACATAGAAAATGATCTTTTAAAAGTGGCCGCAGAAAAAGCAAATGGACCTATAGTTAAAGATACGAATATAACACAAAACCCAAATTCTACTGACAATCACTCAAGTGCGGCGTATGTCGATTCGCCGGCTGAAATCATTACCGCTTTGGCAATTATAGTCGGCAAGATTTTGACTTAACTTATAATTACTACATTAGTTAATTAATTTTTAACTTACTTCCAAATTTTTTAAGCAATATGCACTTGTTATCAAACACTAAATCACACTTTGTTTTAAGGTTAAAAATAACGAAATACTTGTTGCACAGGATGCCATTTTATCTGTCAGATCATCATGTACCTAACTCATACTTAACTTCACTCCTATCCATACTCAAGTTGGCAATACCTAAACATCAAAAACGTTTCTGAAAAAACATAATAAATATTAAATACATAAATAAGTTTGTGAAAAGATTAAATTTGATTATAATAAAATCTTACAATATATTAAAAAAACAATAATAGATTATATATTTATAAAATATTCCAATAATTTAACTATATGTACAATTATTCTATTAATTTACTCTTTTGTATTTCTTGCCCTAAAAGTGACAGTTGTTTCAAAAACTGTTTGGCATTATTTAAAGTTGAAGATCCATATATTATTCTTCGTGTTGTACCGCTACCAGCCTTTTGCTTGAAATAATAATAATAAAATATTAATTTGTATAAACCATCAAAATAAAATTTTCTTTAGTTAAAGTGGGATATTCTAGTGTAGAGCCTGAATTTCAAGTCAGTTTTAAATCATTTTGCACAAAAGAGGTGATTGAAGATTATTTCTTCATTAATCTATTTATCAATGTTACAAGAGTGCAGAAAAATTGGCACATGGGGTCCCAAAAAATTGACACATGATCATGCCCACGATCGCACCTCTTCTAGTAATCCGAAGTGAAAACAAGGAAAGATTTTTAATCTAGAATAATGCTGCTATGGTATATACTACGTTTAAGTTCATAATAATTTTTTGATTAAATGGTGACTTTTTGAATTTGGGCATTTACCACTTTGATTTTCTCGAATTTTTCAAATAATAATTTAAACTTGGGGATGAGGCTAGTATATGCAGAGTGAAGTCTATAAAAAATATTCTCTGAAAATTTCAAGTAAATCGGTTCAGTAGACCTCGAAAAATCGTGGGCATCATATTGAAAAAGACAAGTTTTCAGAAAAACGCGTTTCAAGTTTTGCAAAAGACAAGAAACGGAAAAGGTCAAACAGCTGTATCTCTTAAAATAATTTGAGTCCTAAAAATCCTTTTGTATACATATTCTTTAAAAAGTTAAACTTTTAATATGAAACAGAAGATTTTTTTGGAAATCTACACTAGAATATCCTTTTAATACACATTCAAACAAATGATATAAAATAGTGACAATGTGAAACCTTGAAAAGTGAATTGTGTTATAAAATAAATTTAATACCTTAATAAAATCGGCCAAATTTTGGTATTCTATATAATTTCCACCTCCAACAATAAACACAATAGCGTCTTGAAATGGAGCTCGACCTTTTGGAAATTCACCACCTTTTAATAACTTTGGATCTAAATAGTGATAATCATCAGTTTCTCCACCAGTCCTACATTCCATAAGCTGCTCAACAATTCTAGTAACCGGTAAGTTCTATAATTTAAACATATTACAATAGTTTTTATTAGAATACATATTTCATAAAAAATATGTAGCTGGAATTATTATTAGCTACATTGTTAGGATACATTTCATATATACAGTTAGGACAATACTTACATGTCTTTTAACAACTAAATTCTTGACCCCTTCCATTACAAAAGATGATCCTTGTGAAACCAACTTAGAAAACATAGATACGGTTTTAGTACCACCGCCTTCATATTGACTTGGTGCTGCTACCATTTTTGTAAGACTTCTAAAAATGTGATTAGTGCTATTATAAATTGAAAGGGATTATTTCGTGCTTATGATGTATATTCAAATATTATTTTTTTCAATTCATTGCCGATTAAAAATAAATGACCAAACTTTATGATTTGTAAAACCAATTGTTGATATAAGTGCTTGATTTAAAAATTAGTATAAACAAATACTGTTTGTTATCTAGCATTGATTATATTTAAATTACCTTTATAGAATTTATTTTTATGAAAAGAACTTACTTCCATCGTTTTATATACAACAACGGTTGCATGTCACAACCAGCATTAATAAGAGCTGTTTCATATTTCTTATATTCTGCCTCTGACATCTGAGGAGTACATATATAATATATTATAAATAGTCTCATTTTGTCTTCTGGCAAACCTGATTCAGCATCAGTTAATATTTCAAGAATACTTTTATCCAAAGTACTTTTCGACATAATTTTTTCTTCTATTTCAAAAAATGAATCCAATCTTCTATTTTTAATAAAATTAAGAATAGCTGTTGCTATTGTCGTATGCATATCGATCAATCTTTTCATTTCCATCAATTGTGGTAATGAATTAACAGCATTTGTTAATTTCTCAGTATTATCATTGACCATTGAAAATACAGCCTCTGTTTCACCATCAATACCCATTGAGGATTTAAGCTTTTTCACTTCTTCTTCTGATGCTCTATAAGTTTCTAGTTCTTCTTGAATTGCCTCAGCAACAGTGGGAAATGGATTACCTTTATGAGCCATCCAAAAACGATCTCTGGAATCTAAATCGCATGGCCGAGTTTTAGCTTTGGCTCCACCTGAAGCTGATTTACCAGCACTTTCTTCTACAACAACTCTACAAATATCAAGCACATTGAATGCAATGAAATTTTAAGCTGCAAAGATTTATTTATTAAAATATTATTAATATACTAACCGATTCAAAGCTAAATCTAGCACATCATGTGCCAAAGCTTGATAAGTCCAAGTATGGTGTAGTGGTGTGGCCATATCAACATTTCTATCTAAAATAATTAATAATGGCCTTTGAAAATTGAATGCTCCAACTCCTTGTGATGTGTCCATTTGAAATAGATTATTTCTTGTATCCCATAAGTTTTCTCTTAATTTTTTTTCTAACTTTTTAGCAACCATCTCTGCAGCATTTCCTCGTGGGCTAAATTATAAATCAATTAATACTTGTAATATATTATTTGTAAAATAATAATAACAATTACCTTCGAATTATTGGTACATTTCCCAATGTTGCAAATACTGAAAAAAGACTATCTACAATGGAATCCATTATCGTTTCCATTTCATTATCTTTGATTTCTCCTCTATTTATTGCTAGAAATAAAAATACATTAAGCACAAGATCAATGCTTGAATGTGCATACAATTGACAATTTTAATTCTTTACCATAATATGATAAAGCATCACTATGTTGATGTTTCAGTATAAATAAATCTTCCTCCAATGATATAAAATTCAAATATTGATCATAAACTTTATGGATATTAGCAACACTGTTACTCTGAATGGCAGCAGCTGCTAAATCCTCTAATTTTCCTCTTGAAATAGGTGAGATGAAGTTCAAATGATATGTATCATATAATCCGTTTTGTAAATCTTGTCCTATACGTCCTAAGTTTTCTTCTGTGGGAGCGCAAAAATATATAGCTGGCACTTCTGGAATGGAATCTCTGTCGGAATGTAATTGACTGAAAAACAAAATATATACATAAATATAAATCAATGTTCCATTGCAGAAAACTCGTGGCTTAACGAGCAATGTGTCCAAAATTTATACTATATTATGAACGTTGTGAAAATCATACTCGAAAATATTTTTAGATGTAAATACATTATAAATTAGAGCATTGAAGCTTTGATTACTCTGAAGATCCAAATACAAATTTTAATGATAAAGAATAATTCATCTGTTATGTTTATCCGACTTACACATGTAAAGTAACACCCATCTCTCGAAGTTCTTTAATTGATATCAATGGGGAGATAATATCCTGACCAACTCTGTCATAAATAAGTATTTTCCATACTGGTTCTGCAGGTACTGTTTTTGATATAACTTGATTCAAGTTGAGCATCTGCTTTATAGCACCTGCAAATATTTAATTATTATTAAAATTGAAGTGAGGTTACTTATGATATATAGATTAAAATATGTATGTAAATACATGTAGTAAGGACCTATTTGTTTTTCTTTTAATGTCACCATCTTTATTTGTTATTATTCTGTATTTCTTAATGTTTTGTAGTATATTTAAAGCTTCGTTAATGTCAAATATGAAAACAGTACACGTAAGTCAATGACTGTCATCACTTTCGTTAGGTTATGTTTTGCAATGCCATCTTTTCGTCAGAAGCTTAAACTTGAGAATTGAATAAACCATAAAGGTTCTTATATTAGGTTTCTGGTTCAATAATAATAATAATATATATATACAGAGCCGATCCAGGGGTCTTCATTGCATTTTTTCCGCATGCAATTTTTTTTCTAGCGCCCTTCTCCTTATTATGTTGATTGTTTTAACAGTTTATAATTAAAATTATACCAGTGGGGTGCATAGCATCGTCCCTTAAGGCAAATTGCTGGAACTTTTTGTAACGTAAAAATCTTGGCACGGAACCCAACAAAATTTTACACAAAATGTGTACACACTATTAAAATCTCTATAAAATATCTGATAATTTGATGTACATATGTCCAGTAAACATTTTTGACCGCCGAATGACATTTTTTTAATTTTATTTTTCTTGAGAGTCTATAACCGCTGAACCTGCCTTCCCAAAAATTTAATCAGTTCTTCATCTTGTCAATACAAGTAAAATGCTTTTTGATTTATTAAAATCGGACGATCCGTGCTCTTAAAAACTGAGTTACCGTTTTTGGCACTTTTTGCCCCATTTTTCCGTAACGGCTCGACCTGTCTTTGCCAAAAACTAATCAGCACGTCACCTTATCAATACGAATCGAATGTTTTTTGAATTATTCAAATCGGTTGATCAGTGTTCCCAAAATCGTCGACGAAAATTTGTATTCGCACACACACACAAACACACACACATACACACATACACCCACATACATCTATTTTTTCTAAGGTATGCCAAAATATTCAGAAATCTTTGAAACGTAAAGATATATACAAATTTTCATTTTCGACTTTTTCGCGATTACTACAACTTACCCTACGGGAAGTTAAAAATATATTATAAGTTTCATATATGAATGTAGTGTTGGCGCCCCCTAAGGCGTGCGCCCGCATTTTTCGCATGTATCGCGTTCAAGGTAGTACCAGCCCTGTATATATATATATATATATATATATATATATATATATTGATTGTTTCTTTTATAGATATATATATATATATATATATATATAATATACCCTGTTTATAACAATTATACTGAGATATAAAATATATAAATAAATCATATTTTCATATCATCCAAATGATTTAAATAATTATCACACGATATACAAACAAAAATATATAAATACACTTAATGTTTTATCACAAAACTGCATTTGCACTGTTTACAAAAACCTGAAATCGAATTTTGACCAAAATTTGCATAATGGATATGAAATTCTTAATAAGATAAACCTTTAATGAGGTAAATTTCCAGGTGTAATTTTTATCAAAATTCAATAAATCACTGTCTCTTAGGACAGATAATGGTAAAAATTATACTTTATGACCCGAATAATTATAATATTATTCAAGCGTTTTATGTGCTTTAGATTGCTCGAAATGTGTGAAAATTAAATTTAAAATAATTATTGCACCGATATCTGAAAGTATTCATTAAAATGAAAACATTTAAAGTTTAAACTAGGTGAATAAATTATCAGTATTCCATAAATTGCGTTTTAATAGTCTGTTAAGATTAAGGAAAAATGCACTTAACAAAGAAATTTCACAATTTATGTGCATTATAATATTTATTACTATTTATTATAATGATATTACAAGTATATCTTACTAATCAAGAATTTGATTTCAACTAAAATATCAATTTAAAATATATATTAGAGTACTTTGCCATATTTATTAGTAAGTTAGGAAGCGCAATGACTTCCAGAATTTTAGAAAATAAATAGAAAAATTACTATATTTTATATCAATTCATTAAATTATTACCTTTGGTCTTTCGACAGGTGTTTTAGTCATTTATGGTAATGAGTATTCAAATTTATAAACTTCTGTTATTATCGGTATTTTATCAGAACCACGAGTTATTTATAGTGACGTTAATTTAACTTGAGGTTGTTTTCAATAAGATTTTTTAGTCGTTTGCGAAAAACCGCCGGAAAATGTACTCGCTGCGGTGGACTCAAGTCTTCCTACTTTGTACTGGTATGTGATCAAAAAAAATTTTTTTTTGTGTTTTTTTATTATAGAGTAAAATTCATTGGTAGTGATCTAACTCAAATTTTGATTATCACATCTGAATTTTTGAAAATTCTCGAGAAACTTTGTTATTAATAATGTGTATTGTAATAAAAATTATATTTACATGTAAGTAGAGAATCATTAGAAGTAGATACTAATTCAAAAAAAAAAAATTTCAGAGGGATATCTTAAAGCATATTTTTTTATAATTTGCGTATCGACGTATTTTAACACGCTTTTCCAAAAATTGTATGCAACTTTCATCTTCTAAGTTATAGTGCATTATATAATTCATTTGAAATTTATATAAATACTAAGAAATTAAAAGCAAGAAATAAATTAAAACAAATTTCTTAAGAAATCTATTATAAACTTTAATTATGTCTTATAAGTTCGAAGGCAAGCTTTTGTCCTTAAACCTTGTCCTCAGTCAAGGGAATAGTCAATGCACCTTAAGATTTATTATTTATTTACATATTTTATCTTTACTTGCCTTGTCAACAGGAATAATTAGTAGTAAATTAGACATGACACACGTATATAATGGCAATACTATCTAAATAGACGCTTTTACAATGATTAAAACGAATATTACAAGGATTTGAATTCTTTATTTATTCATAATTGTATAAATTATATTAATGATATTATTTAAGCAAATATATTTTGCTTGTAGGGCATTATATATATATATATATATATATATATATATATATATATATCGGTTAAAATAATGATTGTCGTATGATGTTTTTGTTATTGCAAAATTTGCATAGAATAAGTAAAATATATCTATAAATTGCATGTTGATATGACGCTAACGATATAATATTATACAGTTTTCGATGCTATTAGAATTGAAATAATATGACAAGGTTATATTTATATTCTATACTAATTTAATTCAAACTGAAAAAGTTAATGTCTTTATAAGTGATTACTTATGATTTATCTTACGAACCAAATCAAGTTAATAAAACAAATTATTCATAATTTTATATGTGAAATAATTAACTTAAAATGTGTTTGAAATAAAATTTTATTTTTATATGTCACTCTTTTATATGTAATATGTGCTCTTCATTTTCTGAGCTTGTTTTTTAGGCTTTCTATTGCACTTTGTCTCAAGCGAAACTCAAGAAGATCCCGAAGCTCGATTTTTTTTGTCACCATTTAGTTCAAAGTGCTTTACAGTTAAAAACGAATGTCCAAATGAAAATATCACACTATATTTATATAGAGAGTAAGTAAAAAATAAAATAAATGTAGTAATTATAAACTGAACTAGTTTTGCAAAATAGTTCTTAATTTTTTTCAATAAGAACATGATATATGTAACTACATATCTACACTAGTTGAAGATCAATATTTTATTCATCAACTAAAATGTATTCTTAGTAAATTTATTACCCTCAAAAGTTCACACCATTATATAATTTACAAATATTCATTTTGGTTTCCAAATCCAGGATGACACTTTAAATGATATTTAAATTATTGCAGAGATATTCAAGATTCTCCATATATACTTGACATCAATTCCATAAAAGATGCACCGATAGATAAAAATCTTCCAATAAAAGTGTTGATTCATGGTTACACTGGACATCGTGACTATTCTCCAAATACGGAAATTAGACCAGGTATAATTAACAAAAAAAACTTTTTGTACCATTTTTTTCTTTAACATTGCCAAACATTTTATTTGCATATTCTCATTTCAGTTTTGCAATATTTTAAATTTATTCTATGTGGTTGTTGCATTGATGTTTTAGTTTGTATCAATATAGCAACTCTAATTTAAATATTTAATTATTTATAACATTTATATTTTTCAGCTTATTTTTCTGTTGGTGATATGAATATCATTAGTTTGGATTATCATCCACTTGTGGAAGAAGGATGTTATCTTCAAGCTGTCGTAAATTTAGAGACAGTTGGACATTGCATTGCTGATGTTTTGGAAGCTGGAATTGCTGCTGGAAAAATAGAATTAAGTCAATTACATATTATCGGTTAGTTAATATTTAAATTCATTCTTCATGTAGCCACATAATTTAATTTCTAGATAATTGGAAATTTTATCAATTTTTTTTTCTAATGAGCTCTACATAATTTTCTTACAAAACGAATTTGTTTTTTTTATTCAATATCTTATTTATCACTTTATAAATATTGTATATAAGTCACAGATTTCACATCATATGAATTTCTCTGGAATATCACTCATAATTCTGCTTTATTATTTTTTTTAGGATTTTCATTAGGCGCTCATGTGGCAGGGTTTATTCAAAAGTATATGAAGTCTGGAAAACTTCCAAGAGTAACAGGTGATAAATACAATTTTAATATGAAACGTTAAATTGATATGGATTATTAATGCCATGAGCATATTCAGAAAATTATATCTCTAGAATAAGAATTTTTTATTATTAAATATGTTATTATGGAAAATATATCAGGTATGAAACAAGATAATTATATTTTATCAAAAAGTATATCACATAGAATTTAATAAGGATAATGATGAAAATATATTTCTTTATAAACGGATCTAATTAATTCGTTTTTTGCTGCAGGATTAGATCCAGCTTTACCATTGTTCTATCTTAAAGAAAATGGTCGAGAACTTAGCAAGGACGATGCTGAGTTTGTCGATAGCATTCACACAAATACGGGATTAGCAGGAAAAATTTTACCAGTTGGAGATATAGATTTTTATTGCAATGGTGGAGTTATTCAGCCTGGATGTCTAATATCTAATTACTCCAGTAAGTATATATATATATATATATATATATATAATATATAAAATTATTGATTACATATTTGATTATAAATTAAATTGTAATTAAGATGATATTTGATTTGTTAAATTGCACTTAATAACATAATTATTAGAAATATTCTTTATAAAGTAAACTGATTAATTATAGATATTTTGGCATAGTCCTGCGCATTAATCATTCGAAAGACTGCATGTTCAAAAACATGCAATATTTATGTATATTGAACGATTTTTTTTAACATTTTGCGCACTTAATAAATCACACTTTAATTCTGGATGTCCTTTTTATATACATATACAATTTTAACACCTCCACGGAGATATTTCTTAGAATTATAGCAAAATTGACGTAAAATTCAAATGCGTACTAATTGACCCCTAGACATGTAAACTCTTTTGCACATCATTAGAGTTATGTGAAAATTCACATCTATATAGGATTCTTAAAATAACCCAATAAAAAATATTCTATCCATAATTCCATGAGCGCTAATGAAATATTTAACATTATTGCTAAATTATTAATTAATTCGCAGAATTATATATATATATATATATATATATATATATATATATATAATTTATACTTACAATTATCCCAGTACAAAGAAGTACCACTTCTTCATGCATCATTTGTGCTCGTTCTTGAATAATTATTCCTGCTTACAAGATTTCCTTCCAAGCGGACGTAATTTGCATTGAAAATTACAGAAACAAAGAAAATTAATATGCACATTTTATACATTATTTAATATTGCTAGACAACATAAATTTTATTTTGCAATACTTTATCACATCTTAGAAATAAATGAAACGTAATGTATATTTTGTTATAATTTAGTTCTGGTAGTGGTGTTGTTAATTCAGTTCTGATATTGTGAAGGACAAGATATATATGTTTGATTTTATAATTGATTGTTCGTGTCAATAACAATTATTTTAACAAATAATTGTCAAGAAATAGTGTTTCATAATTATATGGGAAAGTCTGACAAATTGGCTTGGTGTTTTGTTATATATATATATATATATATATATATATATTTGAATAGTCTTGAAATAGTCTATATATATTTATATATTTATATTATAATTAAATTCTTTCGTTTTTACTCATCTTAGGTTCATTGTCTATCAGTAATAAAGACCCTTTTTTTATTAAGTAGAAACTATAATAAAATAATTATTAAGGAAAAATGCAATCTATTATAAAAATCATTTTGTCCATATCGTATGGACATGCAAATTTTCAAGAAGACATTTAAGAGTACAAAAATAAATTGTTTAGTCCTCTTTGGGACATCTGCATATGACGCATAAGTCCAAAGGGAACAAATTATCGGAACTAACCTTTGCCGGTTACAGATCTTAAAAAGAAATCTTTGCAATAAATGTAGGTCTTTTTGCCGGTGGATCCTTTGGTCTGTTTTAAGAAGAAGTTAGAGAAGAAGTTGAAATTCAGTAAACTTTGCCACGTTTTAATTTTTTTTCTTGGCTATAGAAAGAGACTGCCTTGCAGTGCTAATAAAATAGTACTATAACTAGTTTTGTCTATAGTATAAGTAGGTCAATTTGTCTCTCTTCACATTTGCTGCCGCAGAAATGTTACTAAAACTAGCCAATTTTTTAATAAGGCTACTGTGTCATTTTGTCCGTATTTTCCCTATTCGTTGTTTCGATACGATTTCATACAAATTACATAGATGATATAATATTATGAAGACAACAAATAAATTTTTATGATAACATATTTTCACATTATAAAATACCATTCGCTAGACGATATATCAATTTATGTTTCACCGCATTTGCATATTACATATACCATATAAAAATTTATTAATTTTGGCAAATGCGTGGGTTGTTCTCGCTGCGTTGCATAATGCCATCCATTTCTTTATGATAATAACCGTTCTGACTTTTAAAAATGTTGCAAAAATTAATTAACTATTCCTCACCACAATTTGGTAAAGAATGTTAGAATGTTTTTACTTTCAAGCTGGCAATTCTATACAATCGACTAACAACGTTAAATTCGCAGGTCTAATAAGTTGCGACCACAACCGTGCTCCCTTGTATTACGCTGAATCAATTTACTCAAAGGTTGGTTTTTACGGCATCGAATGCTCGGACTACGTGTCGTTTAGGAAAGGTCGCTGCGACAAAAACGATGTGGTCATCATGGGAGAATATACACCATCTGAGTAAGTGCTCTCATTTGTCTAGTTTATATTTAGAAAAATTCGATTTTGCTTTGGAAATGACCTAGTAGATGCATTGAGAGAGTACAGTGTTATTCAAATGTAATTACCTACAATACATGATAAGAGTTGTACACAAACTAAATAGGGTCACCAATTTATTTAAAAACTTGTTGCATCGGCGCATGTACCAATAACGCGCCTCACAAATGAGTTTTGATTACTAAATTTTGAAAGTTGATGCAGAATTTCTACTTGATATTATTCAAAATGATTAAATTAAAGTGGTAAATAAATTATATTATGTAATATAATTAATTATAGTCATGTAATGAAGTGACAATTTAAGCTTCCTAATATTTAATTCAATGAAAACAATGCCGGAGAAAATTACTTGACTACTAAATGCACAAATAGTCAAAAATCCATGTAGTGTAAAGTCAAATCTAATCTTCCCATTTTGTTCCGCTACGCCTACATAAAAGCATTCAATTCATTTAATTTTATTAAGATATAATTAGAAGTCAAAATGGTTTACGTTACATCTCGTGGAATTTTTTGAAGAATTTGTTATTGTATTCTGTGGAATAATTTGTTTGATATAATAATTCACTGAACTAAAGTTATGTCGCTAACTATTGTTTGTTACTTATTAAATATTGGCTGTAGACTAGCATACACACAATATAATTGTATATTTTATTTGCTCAATGTCAATGCTTGTTGCGGCATTTTATTGCATTTGAACTTTGAATAAGTTTCTAGAAAACTAATTAAAGTGAAAACTCTAGCAAGTACTTCTTTATGTGAATGCTAATAAATATAGATAGCAATGCAATAAAACCTTAGGTCGAATTTCTTAACAAGGCTCATACAGTTATTTTGATAGTTATATTTAATAATTGAATATTAATTGTTGTCGTTTCAATACTCAAAATAATAGCAATTTTAATTTAAATTTTAGGAAAAGATAAAACAAACACAAAAACTATTTCCAATCAAAAAGCGACTATTGCCATGCGATACATGGTTTCAATATTTACTTGATTTATTGCAAAATGTATATTTAAACTGATATTTAAATATATTCATAGCTCTAGTATTTGCAATATATTTTTGGATAAATTATTTTCTGAAATGATTTGAAATTATTGGCGAAAGTTATACAGAATTTCCATTTCCATTTCATTCCATTTTAATGCATTTCATAGTTTTCCACCTTAACAGATTTTTTAGTTTGAATATATTTTGAATATATGCATTTTCTGCAAAATATAGCAAAAACACTGATAATTTAAAAGTCCTTTTTAAAGAGTGATTTAATACTTTAAAACGTATTATTTTAAGATAGATATTGTTTTAAGATCCACTTTCACCATATAATTTAGGATCCGAAAAAAATTACATATTTAATTAACAACTATATTAGTGACACAATGAATACATAATTAGTAATTCAATTATATATACAAAAAAATGCTTCATTAACTTCCCGTAGGGTAAGTTATTGTAATGGACCGAAAATTGAAATTGAAAATTGGATGGAGAATTGGAAGGTTTCTGAACATTTTGGCATACCTCAGAAAAAATGGATGTGTGTGTGTGTTATATGTATGGATACAAATTTCCAGTCACGTTTTCGGGCGCACGGATCAACCGATTTGAATGGTTCAAAAAACATTCGATTCCTATTGATAGGGAGATAAGCTGATTAGTTTTTGGCAAAGGCAGGTCCAGCAGTTACGGAGATAAAAAGCAAAGAGTGCAGAAAATAGAATTCGAGTTTTTGAGAGAACGAAGCATCCGATTTGAATGATCTGAAAAACATTCAATTAGTAATGATTGGGAGAAGTGTTTATTAGTTTTTGGCGAAGGCAGGCCCAGCCATTTCGAAGATACGGAGCTAAATGTGTAAAAAATGGCTGTTTTTGAGAGAACTAAGCGTCCGATTTATATGATTCAAAGAACTTTCTGCTAGTCTTAACAAAATAATTGAATTTGGAAAAAAACATTTGTTTCAACTTTTTTTTTTCAAAAAAAAAGTTTTTGTGTATCGAAAATAATTCAGATTTTATTTTTAATTCTGACTATAGTTCTAATATACTTTAAACAAATAATTTCAACTTTGCAATTTAGTTTATATAATTCTTATAAATATTAGACAATGTTACAATATTAATAATAAACTATTTGAAAACATTCAGTATTCCTCGAACATTTTGTTACGGTACGGGAAGTTCCAGCAATTTGCCTTAAGGCACGATGCCATACACCCCACTAGTTTAATTTAAATTTAATAATTTCTAAAGTGTCTTTTTATTATACCTTATATCTGAACAATACGTAGATCGTTGTAACAATATAATTTTTTATGCATTCTATAGCACCTTATAAAATTATTCAAAAGTTACAATTTTAGACCGATTTTCCAATCTGTATATTTCAGAGACCAAATTGGTATTTTTATAATCTTGTACAAAATTTAATCAAATCTTGTATTTGACTTATAAAAATAATTCTCAAATTGTTTTAAGCTCATTGACAGTCAATAAAAAAAATGTACCAATGTACTTTACCGATGCATTCGCTGCATAATAATTGCACATGCACGCGATCGCACGAGAGCACGTGTTAGTAAACAATCGGTAGATCTCCTTCTCGGATATTCCAATGAAAGTAAAACCTGGAAATCATATCGATGGAGAAAGTGTTAAGCACGTATGAAGGAGCGTCCCGTTGTTCGGAGAGAGGCCGAGCGTAATGCTCGGCGGCATCTCTCCAAACATGGAACGATTGCGTAACGTTGTCGGACCGCTTTTGTTTTGCTACATTTTACAAGAAGTCAACGAACGTCGAAATATATTCGATATTTATTAATTTTTAGAGATGAGGATCGTAGATTATATATTACAAATCTCTATAAAAGTTTATACAGCTGCTCTATTTCAAGAATAGTAATTTTGTTGCTATATTTGTAATGAACCCATTTCTTCCTTAATTTTTGACTTACGCCTTATTAACTCACCATAGGGTAATATAGCAACCTTTCAAAAATCGAAAATGAAAATCTTTGCATGTCTTTATTCAAAGGTTCCTGAACATTTTGGCCTACCTTAGAAATAATAGATGCAGGTAATTTTTTTCAATTTCTTAATATTCAAATATTTCAATTGTTCAAATGCCAAAATGTTCAAATATATTGGATATTTATTAATTATATAGAGGTGCAAACCATAGATTATATACTACAATTTTCTATGAATTGCAATTTTTCTATGATGCAGTTGCTCTATTTCAAGAATAGCAATTTTGTTGCTATCTTTGCAATAAACCAATTTCTTTCTTAATTTTAGACTCACACCTTATTATTAACTTTCCATGGGGTAAGCACCTTATAGTAATCGTCAAATGATTTTGTTTTGTATATCTTTATTCAAAGGTTTCTGAACAGTTTTGCATACAGTTTTAAAAATAATCTAACTTTTCGATTCTTTTCAAATTTTCAAAAATGTTTAAAAAATTCAATATTCTTAAAAAAATCTAACTTTTCTTTTTGGGCTTTTAAAGTTCTTTAATTACGGTACGAGAAGTTTGAGCAATTTACCTTAAGGCACGATGCCATGCACAACTAAACTAGTTTATTAATTAAATATTGAAATAAAATGACAATATATAATCGTGACATGCTATAGGAATTCAAAAGCTTTATGTTATGGCGAATTTCATGACTATACTTAAAAAGTATTATGAAACAAGGGATGGGAAATGAGGCTAGGGCAATTTTTTGAAATGGCAAGACAGATATTGTTAGGATCAACAAGTGCAATAACTAGATATGTTATGAATGCAATAATTGTATTCACAATATATCTTCCAGGGTTGTTGATTTTTACACCAAATCTAAAAAAATGTAAATAACTATTTACTCCAAAAAATATGATACAATTACAATTGATAATACCCAAAACTCGCTTGTAATTTTGTAATGTTCAATTTCATATCAAATCTGGCACGTTTATTGTCAATTTTAAAAATTACTTAAAATTTTAAGGTTTAGTTTAAATTTAGAGCCACAATTATTTAACAATTTTTCTTTATTAATTAGGGCAGGTAGTAAATATATTTTTTATATCAGTGTTTTTTTTAATATCGAGATTGGCATATAATAGCATTGATAAATATCCTCATCATAAAATTAGTGACATTTATAAATTTACTAATTTATAAATTACAATATGCTATTATATTGTTTTGATAATAAAGACTAACGATTTCAATTAATATAACTTCAATTATATAATTTTGTCAACCAATACGTTTTTTATTGATTTTATATCATATTATTGATCGAAGTTTTATAAATTAGTGTAACAATCATGAATTTAATAATAATGGTGAATAATTAAATATGTTTTTGTTATAGTAAATTTGTAAGTGACTTAGTAATTTAGAGAGTTTTTTGGATTTTAAAAAGTAATCATTAAATTTCTCTATACGTTGGCCATTATGTAAATAGTGCGTCATATGTATATGCACACATGTTAAAAATCGATATAATTATTTGAAATGAACAAATTATAATAATTTGTGTAAAAAATTATTCAGGCTTAGACTTAATATTTTTTCCAAGTGTGATTTACATGCTGAAATATATTATTATAACTATAGGAGATTATTGTTTATATGCTTCGAAAAGTATGTAATAGAATATCTCAGAAAATATTTTTAACAAAATTTAAAAAAAAAAAAACTATTAACGAACATGTATATATTCAAATGCATATATATTGTAGTATATAGTATTTCAAAATTTAAATAACAATTTCAAAAATTATTACCATAATCAATTTATACTATAATTTTGGAACTACCTGTAATCACTGTGATAATCATCTGTAATCAGAATACGATAAAAATTGAACTTTATATACAGTTTTTAACCAAGCATTAAAAATTTATAGAGATAAATTATATAAAATTTTAAAGTTTACCGACGAATATCTCGATTTGGCTCTATGAGCCACTTAAAAAAAATTAGCTAAAAAATTCATAGCTCAGAAGTGATATTCACATATGGATATGATAATGAGAATTTAAACATTATAACAAATGTTAAGTAATTAACTTTCTTTATCATTTGATTACTATCTCTATAATTTAAGTAACACGAATTCTTTTTCTAATTGAGATCAGAAAAGATTACATCCTCTGTATTTCAATTAAAACTGTACTAGTTCAAGCATATCAAGCATACCCGGAGTAAAAGTTATGATGCCGTGAAAAATAGTAGATTATAGGAAGAGGAATTAATAATAAACATTGGTTATGATAAAGGTTAATTATTTAATATCTGATCATTATTTGTTAGATGATTATTATCAAGATTATTCTATCAAAATTTGTCTATTTAGATCGATTTGTACTCGTTTTACCTTGGAATGTAGTAAACGACCTTGCAACAAGTTGTCATTTGCATTTATATAAATATTGTAAAATACACGTGAGTGGTTTTGTGGAATAGGTGTTAATTTATAATGTATCATTTAGGTTTTAGTGTGAAATCAAATCAAATATTAGTACATCGTATTGATAATTAATTACTATTTTTTTTTTAAATATTTTTCTGTGAAGTTAATATTTTTTGTACATCTACTGTATCTTTTAGGCATAGCAATGTGTGTTTTGTTTTATTCACATTACGTTTCGCAATATATACAAAGTTCTTGCATTCTAACAATAATTCTATTATGATACTATGCCATAAAGCTTTATTAAAATAAACTATAAAAATGTGCAGAAATGCAAATGTCTCTTTTATCCCATAACTACACCAAATTGCTCATTATATAAAATATTATCTTAATGATCGATCTTAACTAATCTAGTTATCGTTTTATTCAACTCTAGTATTTCGTCATAATTTGGAGAAAGTTTTCTCCAAAATCTTGTAAATATTTTTCTCTTATATAAAATTTGAGTATTTCAGTTTGTGATATACTTTCATTAAACATCAATTATAATGTTTTCAATGCATGCGTGACAAAACCTGAATGCAGATCACGTGTAAGAACTTGTTTTTCTTGATAATGTGATGTGTGTTGCATAAATACTCGAGATGCATTTTTTTAATAATTCAGTAATAAGACAAATGTTGATAAAAAAAAATTCCGATTGCGTACAAATCAGGCAAAAACTTTGCGTTAGTACTACCTACTTGAGAATTATAATATGTAAATTGAAATTAGCAGTATGAATAAATAATTGTTAATCAGGTTGTAATGCTGTCTGGCAACCCCTAATATACTTAAAATATCCATACGTGTGATGAATTTTAATTTTTTTAGATATATAAAATGAATTTTAGTCTGTTCATATAAATGATAAATGATAAATCTCACGAACTTAGAATCATGATCAAAAACTCTAAAAATTTTACCCTAATCAAGTATTAGCACGAAAAAAAGCTTTAATATTTGGCTTCTAGATGAAAAATAAATACACCAATAAAAATGTGAAGTTGAAGTATAATTTTTGCATATTTTATGAATAAAATGGACTGATCATTTTATGTTATCTAGAGCATTTATCTCGTAAACTAGTCCCAAGTTCAATAACGATCTATTTCCTAAGAATTCATGTAATAAGTCATTCCATTTAATATTGAATTATCTCTTTAATATCACGGATAAAATTAATGTTAGTGGATTTGAAAATGTGGTCAGGTAACAATATTAGAGACTAGTATGAAAACACAAAGCTTTTGAATACATTTTTTGTAAATTTTTTTGGAAATTTTGTAAAGAACTTATGCATATAGTAATTGACATCATGGAGATGACAAGAATGATACAATAAGTATTGAATTTATAAAGTTTTATGTCGAGGTATCTCTATTTTAAAATTTCTATAAATTGTTTCCAAGAAACGATACAGCGAGATTTAACTCCCATAAAGCAAACAAATAATTGCGGTTCATAATAAACAGTTCTTTGAAATTGCTTTTCGCTGATTCAATATTAAATAAAAATTGTGAAAGCAGTTTTCATATGCAAAGAATTCCATTTGTTGTACTAGATTCATACTGCACTAATTTCACGCGAATGAGTTTCAAATACATATAATTATATACTAAATGTACGTCCCATCAACTTCTGCAAATCATGACAAACGTTTTTTGCGTATTTTTACTGAACGTGAGAGCAATAATAGAATGAAATTACTTAGCAAAGTATGACGTTAGGAAATTGCTTCTAGTAATCCGTAACTAAATAGAATATAAATACTAGGTTAAGATGTACATGTGCAACCGATGAGTGCTCGGTTGAAAAACTATTATGCCATAGAAGAAAATACATAATTAGTTGCATGATTGACAGAATGTTCTTAGTCATCGTAACGATTTCTTATTTGTTGCTCAAAAATCAATAAACATTATGATTTGTGTTGTTAGTATGATATTTTATAGTGATTTTAACATAATTGCTGTAATATACGATTATATAATAGTTAATTATAATTTTGATTTGTAATGTCCATACTAAGATTTTGAAATATATACTCGCAAAAGGTAGGGCAATGCACAAAGGTTCAACTTGACTATAAGCAATTATATTGCGGAAACCAAACCAATATGTAGACCTAAAATTAGGGTAAATGTTGGAATAATATAATTATAAAAGAAATCTCAAAAGTCCACATCGTTTCCTTGCGAGCTAAAAAATTGGCACAAGGTCAAAGAACAGAAAAATGAATTTGTTCGATTTTTAGCTAAATGATCAATATAAGCCACCTACTAGATAGTGTGCTTAGCACCTCTTTTTACGTGATTTATCTAGTAGGCCTATTTCACGGGTCTGTTGTTATTTAGTTTGTTTCGGAACTATTGCAAAATTTTTCTGATTCTCCTGATTCCCTGATTATTCTGATTCCCTGTTGGTTCTCCTGATTCTCCTGATTCTCGTGATACTTCTTGGTTTTCTTGATTCTCCTGATTTTTTTAATTCTCCTGAATCTTCTGATATTTCTGATTTTCTTGATTTTTCTGATTCTCCTAATTTTGTTGATCTTCCTGATTCCTCTGATTCTCCTGATACTCTTGATTATTCTGATTCATCTGATTTTTCTGATTCTCCTAATTCTCCTGATTTTTTTGATTTTTCTGATTTATTATTTAACTAAATGCATCAATTTCGAAAAGGCTATTTTACTTGGAAACAAATCTAATACAAAACTCATAACCTTTGCGTTTTTTATTTGAGTTTGTCGATTTTGCAATGTATAAACTTCTTTCTTTCATCTTTATTTGGTAAATAGAAATAGATTTGAAAATTTAGCTTGGCAAAATTTAATGAAGTTGGGATCAAAATTGTATTTTTACAGAAATAAAGATCAACGATCATATCAAATATTTTGATACGTTTGTCAGTGTATAGTTTACACTGGAATTAAAAATTTGCACATGTTTTATTCATTGTTTAATAGAGTTATAAAATGGTTATTAATACAGATAATACAGATTGCTAATACACACACACATGTATATATATATATATATATATTATTTTAAAAAATTATATTCCGGTTCCCAACCGCGTAATCATTAGTCATTCGGAAGATTAATATATAATTATGTGATTATAACAACATTTGTTTTTATTCATTAGACTTTCTAATTTCAAGGAGGGCTTCCGAAATAAATAATATAAATCTCAAAAGCCTTCATTAATTAACCTTAGAATGAGATACAAAATGTCTAAGTATTTAATTTACCTTGTGATGCTACATAATATTGCTGGAAGCCAAGGCTAATTATAGCGAAGTTATACAACTTTGATATCTAAATTAAATATGTATACACACACACACATATATATATATATATATATATATTATATATATATATATATATATATATATATATATATATATGTACACCAAATAAAAGTTTATATAAATATGAGTAATACGCCAATATATGACTAATATGCCAATGTCTAATTTTGCATTTCATTTCAAGCTTTCTATGAATATCTATTAATTGTAACAACTCAATTAACATGTTGAAAATGTTTATGTAATTTATCTATGTATATAATCTACTGTCATATAAACTATAATCTTTTATAAAACTTAATCACTCTGTTATAAATGCTTGTACGAACACACATACTATATATGTACATAAATTTTAATTTATGTTTATTACCTTTAAATTATTTTTTTACATAATTGATGGTTACGAAGGACTCTGAACTACTCACAAATAGGCCTATAGTTAAAAACCCGGAAAATGAATTTGTGATAGTGCATTAAATGTCGTCGTTGATTTTGGGAACTAAGAAAATTAATTTAACTGTGTATTTTAGTGCTCGAGGTATATATTATGTAGAAACCAGTGACCAAAAACCATTTGCTCTGGGAAAACCAAAAAACAGCAAAAGACAGGGTGGAGTACCCGGAACAAAAGAAGTGAAAAGAGAAGCCATACACCGTGTCAGGAAACGACAAGCCAAACGACGTCACTTCCCCATCAAATGATTCACTTTGTAGAATCCACGATGAGTAGTTACAGAAATTAGAAAAAAATGTTAATAGAAATGAATTCAATACAGATTATTTTTATTATACTATTTATATTTATATATGTTGATTGAAGTTGGAATTGAACTACGAGACATAAATAGGTCTAATAATTTATTTATATGTTTAATAATTAATAATAATTTATTTATTCTAACCTCATAAACCTTCTTTAATATTTATTGATTAATTATACCATATACAAAGAAATTTCAATAGGTGTAGTGTAGTGAAATTTCAAAGATGTGACAATCGAAATTTTGAGGCAGTCCATTATTCAAAGTTAATTATGAATTATTATCAATTATTAATTATGAAAAATCGGTACGTAAGATCTTGACTATAAACTAATCAGCAGGATTCTTAATTAGTACCTTTTAAACAGTTTTAAATATTTAAAAATGTTTTTTTTTTGAAAACGTGGACAAAGGGTTTGCACTTTTTTGGTAAAATATAAATAACAGCTAGGGTGAGTTAAAAAGTAAAAGTATACAGAGAACAAATTTGAAATTAATTTACCAATAATTAGTTTGATATTTTCACAATCCACAAAGAAACAATCGTTAACATGTTTAATTAGTAGAACACAAAGAAATTAATTTAATTGAAAAGTTATGTTAGTTATGCTACGGTTGTAAAACCTTAAATGCTAATAGCCACAATGCAAATTTAAATTTATATACTTTAGAGTTTATAACTCTTAACGTATGATAGTATGATTGGCAAAAAATAATTTCAAATGCTAGAAAATTATAATAGTTTGTCCATTATAATAATATTTTTAATTGTACTTTGAATTTGCATGAAATTGCTACTAACATTCATAATTACAGATAAAAGTAATACAATTTCTGTAAATATAAATTTGTCACGTTGTTTATTAAATAAACCCAGTTAATGAGTATTTTTGCTCTTCAAAATGATACTTTAGTTTATTACAATGTTAATGATCATTTTTAAATATTAACAACATTTTAACAACGCATAGTTAAAGTGTTCACGGTATTAAAATAATAATTGACACAACTTTCTGAACTGAGTGCAAAAAAGACAGTTTTATAAAATTTCTCAATTAACATAGTAAGCAGAGCATTCATTATCAAAAGCAATCCCTAAACTTTTTTAATCATGATTCAGAAATATAATCAAGGTTTTAATCAACAATTCACATCTTGTAATCATTTTGTTTGAATGAGATATCAATTTAAATTACTCACTTTAAATTTAATAAAAAAATATATTTTTTTATATTAGTAAAATACTGTAATGAAAGAAAATTTTAAAAAGAAGATGTCAACTTTCAACCTATAAAATTTAGCTCAATTAGCTAATCTCAAGTTTCAACTATAATAATTTTACAGCTGATAGAATTCCAAATAATTAATTGGACCAATTGGACCAATTGGACAAATAAAACCTAACATAGAATAATAAATAAACGGATTATAATTATTGAATTTACTCCAGTAGTCTAGTATCAAACAGTAGTGATATCAGATGTTGACTTGAGATTATAGAACGAAAAATTATATTAATGAAAATAGCTTTCGAACTCATTGCTACATCACCATTGAAGAAATCTAAGAAACCAAAATCTCATCAGATAGACAATAGTCAGATCACTGAATTGCATCCAATAACACTAGGCCAAGGAATCACATCACAATTATGTATATTAAATATAAAGTGCTGTTGAAAACATCTACTAATCGAAGCAAAAAGAGCTTGTTTGAAATCTTCGCGTGTTAAAACGAATGCCGGTTTCTGCAAATCCGCCATCCATCCTTAGTCATTCATCAACTTCCTCCTCTTCTTTAGAATTTAACATTCTTCAGCCAGATTACACACTCTGACAGTTACCACTCGCTTGTGCATTCAGTTCCTAACAAATCTCTTGTGTAACGCAACTCGAAATCAGTTTAATATTGGACTGGACAATAAATTATATGAATTTACTTTTATTAATATTTGAGTGAAAACTTTAATATATTCAGTTCAAAATGTTTTGTGCTTGTTTGATGTCGTGAGTGACCGGATAATTTGCAAGGCGTATGTAGTTTTTATTCGGAGGACTATTCAGGACCTTAGTGCAAAATGAATAGATATAAATATGCTTTAGGTTTAGTGTGTATAATGTTGCAGTTTCTGGATCAGGCCGGTAAGGTATTGATAATTATTGTTAGTTAGTAATAAATTCAAAATTATATTGTTAATAAATATTATTAAGTGATAATGATTTTAATAATTATGCTTGTATAACAGATAATTATATAAATTTGTGATATTTATATAAATGAATTATCGTTACAATAATTTGTAATTTTTAATTATTATTATTATATTATTTTTAATTCGATGTATTGGCCATCCATTTATAGTATTCATATATATCATTTATAGTTGGGGTATGGATGTTTTCTTCTTCAGGAATTATTAAAAAAAATGAAAGAATTCACTTTTCACGCAAAAAATATATTTAAAAATAGGTGAAAGTAATAGACGAAATATAGAAGAATACGACGAAAAATTATCAGGTCACCCAAACAAATATTTAAACGAATATAGTGAGAAATCTTCTACTCAAAGATTGACAAAATATGGTCATACGATCTTAATATATTATAAAAAAAACAGAAATGTCATTGAAAAGCATAAAGACCAGCATATTGCTTAAAAATTAATGTCTATTTTGATCGTCAAAATATATGCATACAAAAAAAAATAGAAGAAGACCAAAA